TTTATTATACCACTGTTAGCTCGTTGCTCTGTCTTGAAAAGACCTCTGTTTTTTTTATGTGGCTGCTCATAATGACCAACAGAAGAATATTTTTACCTTAAAATCTAGGGTTTATGTTTTTACTGCTCAGAGTGGGATGAAACAGCCTGTCATGAGTACAGTATAAATTACTGAGATATGTAAAATACCATGTGACACGCATAATCACATACTTAATGTAATTGCAAAACAGCTGTCACGTCCTTGATCTCCCTCCCACACCGCTCATGTAATGAAAGCAATACACTTTGTACATTCAGAGTCTGAATAGGCTAGGCTAGGTTATACCTGACGTGAGCTCAACCCTGTGCAATATATCTGAAATTTTAAATAGTTAAAAAGTGTATGACCTTACAGTGACTGCATTCTCCTAAAGAAGAACAACAGGGTATTGGATCTTACGTACAATTAAAAAGTAACAGTTTAGATTTATTATATTAAAAACACCAAGCCCCACATTAGAAAGTAAATGCAATAAAATCAGTCCAACTTTCATTCCTAGGACCAAAATCTTGTATTATTTTTAATGCTTCGCAAGTCCAACTTAATTTTTTAATGACTGACTCAAATCTCTCCGGCATTGAAATAAATACCAGTGTTGCTCAGATTCCTGGAGAGATGTTCTGTCAGTCTTTAGAGACGTTTTTTTTATGTGTACTTTCCAAGAAGAGTTGTGTTGATCTGCCTTTTTTTCTTTAAAATACCCCAAAAGTGTTCTATTGAATTCAAATCAGGCACCACACACATAGTTTTCACTTTTTTTTTTTCTTCTTTAGGAACTCTTGTACGATTTTTGGCAGTGTGCTGTTGCATCATTATCATGCTGAGATATTCCTCTTCTGCCAAGTTTCTGCAGACTGGGAGCCATCTATTCAGCCGGTCTTTTGGTACATCCACAAGCATTCATGGCACTGTCTAGAAATGTTGTCTCCCCAACAACTTTTGCACTCATGCAGCCCCATATCATCATTCTCCCATTTTCATGCTTCACTGTCAGGACTATACATTCACTGTGGCAGTCCTGGCCAGGTTCATGCCAAACAAGCTGGATCCCTCATCAAACAATGGAATGTGCTCCGAATGACAATTCATATTTATGTTCTTCTGTGCTAAAGAGCAAGGTTTTTTTCTTTCTTTCTTGGACACCATCCATAGGGGTTGACATTCAGCAGTGTCCTTCACACTGTCTCAGCAGTCACAGAAACTCTGATTTCCCTATTATAACCCCTGTGCCCAGCCGGAGGCGCTTGCTCATCTGTTGGTCAGAGCTTGATTGCGCAAGTATAGCACTGTCCACAGAGTTATTTTAGAAGGACGGTTAATTAGTGGTAGCATGGCTCGTTCTCTACCTTATGATTGCTGCTGCAAATACGTTTTTCACTGATTTTTAGTCTGTCATCAATCTGCTTGTATCATTTTGAATCTTTGCAAAGACTCACAGGAAGTGATGTCGCTCACAGGTGATTTTATAACCATGTTCATGCAGTTAGGCTTATTGAAAATCACAGGTGGACTCAATTTAGTTTCAATAATCACAGACCTGTATTAACATTTGTTGCATGTTTTTTTTTTTTTTACTTTAAGGTTTTTGTTTTCAATATAGTCTTTCCTAAAATATTTGCTTTTGATTGTTCATAAGAAAAGCACTGTACTGTCTTAGAAACCTTGGAAATAATGTAACTGTTGAGTGGTGATACAACACAAAGGCATTTGATTTTTAAGATATATTGCACAGGGGTGTATTCACTAGTATTGTATGCTATACCACCATCAATCAGACCTGGATCAAATCATAAATTATGCCTAATTTGCAGTTGAGGGGATACTGAAGAAGAGATTCAGCATTGCACGTGCATAAAATTAGAGAACTCACAAAAGACAGGTTCAAGCTGAGATATACGGACTTTTAGTCTCTATAGCATCAACAGTCTAATTTCATTTGACCTGCAACACTCTCAACAAAAGCATCCGTGGGCTGTTGAGGAGGTAAAGAGTGTTTCATCCTCTAATCACAGGCCTGGTGGTTCAAACCCCATCCAGCTCCGCCTGTCCACATGTCGAAGTGTCCTTGGACAAAAGCAGCAGCACCTTGCATTGCAGCTCGCTGCCATCAGTGTGTGTGAGAATGAGAATGGAATTGGTGAATGAGAGGCAAATTGTAAAGCACTTTGGATAAAAGCTTTATACAAATACAAGCCATTTTGTTTTTTGGTTGCCAACCACATTAGCAGCACAACAGCTATTCTTCCTGCAGCTATGTTCCGAGTGTCAACAGAAATAACAGGCATTAAGCGAACACACCTCAATGGCATCGGAATGAGTGGGAAACAGACATCGTCAGTGATGCGTTTCTACTGAAAAATGTCCACTGTGCCACATTTGTAGCATGAGGTGTCTTTAATAAGTTGATGGTCGTTCTATGACATCATCTGTGCCACTTTCTCAGCTTCTTCCAAGAGCCACAGAAGATGTTACACAACCAGGCTGAGTAGACGCTGTCACGATGAAGAACTATATGTGATTCAAAAAAAGAAATATATAAATTAAAAATGTGTGAAGTGCTCCTTCAAAGTATCTGACAGTTTATAGTTTTCCGTCCTCATGTGGTGAGACTCCACCATCATCTGCTTCAAGGTTACTCAGTTAGGTGTTAATTAAGAAATCCTCTATGAGTAAGCTTGGCTATGCAACTCTATTTCCTCTACTTATTACATATTGCTCACACACACACACACACTCTCTCTCGCTCTCTCTTTCTCCGTAGTTGCTTCATCTCTGCGAGCTGTGATCCAGTGCCAGAAGCGGCCATCTTCCCAGGAACAACTCTTTGTTTTTCTCTCCTGCAGCTCAGTCAGCGTCCCTTTGAGTTACAGCTCCTCGGAGAGCTCATTGTGTTTGTGTCCATGCACGCACAAACACACACACGCACACGCACAAACACACACACGCACACCTACACACACCTACACACACACACACACACACACACAGCCAGGGAGACAGCAAAGCAGAATGCTCCATTTATTTTCCCATTATAGCCTGGCTGGTTTACTCTCCAATAGTTTTACATGCTGTTCAATCTCTGCTTGCTCACTGTTAGTTTTTTTTTCTCCGCTGTGCACATAAAAAACAAAGATGTTGAGATTCCTATGGAGAGGAAGATTTGTGTTGAGTTAAAGTGCAGCTTTAATTGATGGAACTCCTGCTGAAGCTTCAAATATACGGAAAACGCTTTTGATGTCTTCAGCAATTAAAACTATTGATTTGCACTATTACTTCAAACTTTGGTTGTTTATTAATTAGGGGCTTTGTAGAAGAGAGCACAAACTTGAATATCCCTTAGATAACAGCATTCAACCTCCACATTTTAAAGAGCTGAAGCAAAAGCAAAGTGGCCTGGTGTGAGGCCACAGCATACGTCTTGCTCTGTGGTATTTCAGGGCTCATCACAGTTGCATAATTGAATTGACTTGCATGGGTGAACTTAATTGCTTCCAGTGCCAATGAGCCCTGGCTTAGATGTAGGTGCACAGTGTGTATCGGCAGATCTGACTTTTAAAGTGGCACGCTGCGCCATCGAACACGGCCGCCTTCTCGCAGCCTATATGGGCAGGATTTAACTAGGGGGTGATTCAGGACCGTTCAGCCAAGCTGTTTGAGTCACTGCACCTCTCTACAGTAGAGGACCCCGATAAGGAGTGATTCATGAGCGCTGTCTGCTGCGAGGCTCTGCCCAGTGGGGGGGGGACAACGACAACAACAACAACAACCGTGGACAAGGCAGCCACACATAGGCACAAAAAAAAACCAAGAGAGAGAATAAGACACTTGGTATCTCTTTCTTAGTCTCACTTATTCACACTGCAATCAGGTGTAAAACTCAGAAGGCTGCAATGACATTCTGAATACTAATTTACAGGATTTACAGTATCATTCCCATAAAGTTATTTATATCTTTCTGCTTAGGATGAGATCATGTCCACCTTTCCTCAAGTTGAGTCCAAATCCAAATCAGAGACGCAGCTGTGTCTCCATCTACTGGTGGTGCTTGGACACTACACAGACGTGAAACCTACTTGCACTGCAGCAAAACCTTGACAACTAACTTGAAGTTTTTGCTTGTTTTATTGCAATAACAGAAGGCATTGCCAATGTTGGTGCTTTATTTTTTCTTTACATGCCGCTGGGGTACCCTTAAACTAGAATAGAACTGTCGTGAATTTTTCATCGTTGTCTGAATTTAACGCAAATTCTCCTGTGTGCCGTTTCTGGAAAAACAATCCAGATGGTGCTGCTACTTTGTCCAGCTTAGTTATATCAGTGAGGGTTGTCTACAGTTCAACAGCACCACAAACTACATCCTTTCCAAGGTGAATCCACACCTCTCTTAAACAGTCTACATTTAAAAAAAAATAAAAATTATAACCAGCAGGTGATTTTGAGGAGATGTGTTGGTTACGGCTGATTCTAACCGTTTTGAGCAAATCTTCCAGGACTGTTTTAAGTGTACCCGAAAAACTGACTACTGGGTGTTTTGGTGCATTCCCACTCACTTCTGACTGTCTCAGGCAATTAAGGCATTCAAACTGCTGGCTTTATGGTCCCTGTCTGATAACGACATCACCAGCAAATAATTCTGGGAAGTGCTCAGGTTATAAAAATCACCTGATTTCCAGTAATAATCCACTTATGGGTCACACAGAAAACTAAACAGTAAAAAAAAAAAAATAAATAGCAGAAACCCTCAGATAATCACGTGTACTGGCACACTTGGACAAGCAATTATCTCCGGTGTTTAAACAGCAGATTTGTTTAATCCTCTGTTCACTGTGTTGCGCGCACACGGAGCGGTCTCACAGGTAAAGCGGTGCACCGACGGCTCCGGAGAGATGAGAAGCACACAGCTGGGGGAGGAGGAGGAGTGAAGGCGGACAGAGATTTGATCAGAGTCTTCATTCGTCATGATATCGCTTTTCGACAGCAACAAGTCTGATACAACTGACGGAGGTGAGTAACACTTTGGTTTATTTATATTTAGAGTATGATTTATGCTGTGTTTTTTTGCTCTTGTTACATTTTTTGTCACTGTAGATTCATTTTGCACTGCATATGAAAGCACCTCTATGAAAACAGTTGTCTTTTGTGCAAGATAACACAAGCATAATAATGTACAAACACAAGTTGAGTGTAATATTTTAATTCACAACACTTGAAATAAAATTGAATCCACACATATAGTTTTTTTTGAGTGCCTCCAGGTGTTATCAAAACAGAGAAAACCTATTGTCTCTCCATACTTTAGGTATTTTACTACCAATATTTGTTTCAATATTTGTCCAGTTCAGCCGAAAAGTCTGAATTTTTGTCACGACTGTTAGTCGTAGTTGAGTTATTAATAGTTTCTCGGTTGTGCCAAGGATCAGTCTGGAGGAAACTGTTCATTTTTGGCAAAACTGTAAATGAGACATGTAGAATAAAGTGATTTTGATAAAAAATAGATTTGGGTATTTTAGCCAGACAGAATAACCTGTCAGAAAAAGAAACTTCACAGATTATTAGAAAGTTAAAATTCCAAACATTCTTTCTATTTCCACTCAACAGTGGTTTTCAGAGCAAATTAATGTTAATGATTCCTAAAATGGCGATAGTATGTCTGGCTTCAGTAGCACATACAGTCTTCACTATATTGTGTGCTTTTATTAATTCATTACTCAGAGTGTCGCCGTGTATCAAACATTGCAGTGTCATTTCCACATTTTAACACAATCATCCCCAAGCAGAGTATAAAACCTTTGACTTTTCTCTGTTTCAATGAGCACCAAGAGTTAGACGGGAGACACATGAATTGTTAAGATCTGCTCATGTGAACAAAATGAATGCGTTATCTCTGATTAAGTGCAAACAGGAGCCGCCATAGTGGAGGCAATAGATCAACAGTCCCTCAGGTTGCTTTGTTCGCAGTCAAGCATTCACTTCCTAGACACACTGGTGACGCTGGGAGACTATGGAGACAGCTATTGTAAATATAGAGCGCCCTGAGAGAGAGAGTGGGTGGACACGTCTTACTTAAAGTACTGTCTGAAAGCAGGGCTTAACAGCGGAGTCAATAAAACAGAGTACTACCAACATTAATCTGGGAGTTATTAGCATCTTGAAAGATCTACTAAGTACACAGATGCTGCGTTTTATATAATGCAGCATCCATAAGGTCCAGAGTATTATAAATGGCTTGAATTCAAGAAAATAGAAGATTTTAAAGACTGAATCCATACA